CCAATTTGATCTTCTTTGCCCGATTTAATTTACGAGTTTTCACAACACGGACACCTGAAGGTATTTGCTAATGTCATATGTTGCAGCCAGGCGAGTTGAATTTGTCATGTTGCCCAGGTAACGTTTTGTCGTTGCAAAACACGAAGTTCGTTGCGTTCGTCTTATTTTAATCTTCATCCTCTCATTCATTTGCGTGGAAAATTATAGTAAGACCACTCTTCATATTTAAAATCCCTTATCCATGTAAAATGTCGAGCTGGCGCCGGAATGCGAGCAAAAATTGAATGATGTGATTGCAAGTTTTACGATTCAGCGCGCATGGAGTAGTGTCGTGCCCCAAATGGCGATTTGGTCAAGACAGACGGTATCGTCTGTCTTGCGTACAATTAACTACGTAATTAAATTATCGCGGAATGTGTGTTTCTTTAATTGCAGAACATCCATTTGCAGCACATCCAATTGAAGTACATCTATAAAATGCGCATAGTAGTAGTAAGTAGTAGTACCGCGCATCTTCCAGTTGTAATACTGATAATGGATGCAAAATAATCTGATAATGGATGCAAAATAATCTTAGGAGTGTGTTAAATCATTTAAAACTTGCACCTATTGGAAACAAGACAGCTAACGTGTTAAAACGGATACTAAGGTATGTTCCAATTTTAGTACAGTGCTGGCAAGTGTTGACGATGGCGGTCGTTATTGGTCTTCCTTACTCTGAAGGATTATTGATTATTGTAATTTTCGTTGGTGAGCTTTCAAAGAACCAAGTTGCCGCTTTGCACACAGACGACGACTCAAATAACATATTAAATCATAAAAAAGTTTTCCTTAAACTCTGACTCTTTTCGTCATAGTTTGCTTAACGTCATTTTATGGGTGAAAAGATAGCATGTTTTCTTCGAAATTTCTGGAAATTACAAACGCAGATAATGGAATAAACTTATCATGACCACGGCTCATCGAGCCCAATCTGATGAACAATCAAAAGGCACAACTTAGTCGTTGAAGACGCTCCTAGGTGCATGATATTAAACTAAGGATATAAACCAGGGTGATCACCAAAGACATATCGAGTATGCCCATAATACGCTTGCCAGTGCACCCACCAAGCACTGAACGTTCAAAATCGATACAGGTCACAAAGAAAAATGTAAGGTCACAAAGAATTAGTTTACAGGTACAAACCATATACATACGGCTAGACGTGCCAACGTATTTGCGAAGAGAAGCAATAGCTCATATTGCTAGTCAGGAAAACCTGCTTCAAGCTAAAGAAGCACTTAAAAAGCTTCGCATTCATCCGATTAAGTTTATGCAAGGAGCTCTATTCATGGTCAATACAATTCGCATTCTACAAGATCATCCTGCGGAGTATTCATACATGAATAAACAAACGGTTGCTGCGAGCAAAATTGAACCATTTAAGGTCTTCGGATGGTCAATTAAAACGCTGTAAAGCTGGAAATACCACGATAACGAACAAAATAAATCCTATTTTTAACATTAATTTGCTATCGTCATAATATTAACAAAAACTAATCGTCCTATGCCTAAGTCTTTTAACATAGTTTTCGACGAACTGTTGAACGGATTGAAAATGGTAAAGAAGTTGCTGAAAAACGTCGGTTCAACCGGCTTCTTTAAAGGCTCGGATAGTAGCACGGTAAGTATAATTACGAAGCAAGTCAAGAGAAGGAACAGGACTTCGCAAAGTCTCATAGTGTAAGGAAATCATTTTTTGCGTGAAACGTTTAAGTGGAGCTCAAGATCGGGAGGATTAGTGAAAAATATTGGCAGACGCTTTTATTCATCCTTTACAGTAGGAAGTTCAGTTTGTTTGATCAATGGGGGAAATACACTAATGCCCCATCTATTATTTCGAATATGGAGCATGTCTCACATAATTACAGTACAAAGAAATTTCCACGTCCTTGTACGCTCAAGTTAACATGGCACACATTCAAGCCCACGTCCTTGATTATTTGTCAAAAATTACTTTCCGGTCGTCCTCTAACCCCGCACTTAAGGATGCCGCAGACGGGGATCTTCCGCAGACAATCTGCGCGCGCAGCCACTAGCTGCGGAAGCAGACAGCAAAAATATGACGTTGACAAGTCCCTACATCGTCGGCCGATAATATGCACATGTACAGTCGAAGCTGATGTTGTAGATGTCGCTACTGCTATTGTTGATTCTGGTGCAGATTAATTGTTGTTTTAGCTGCTGATAATGCTGATATTTGAGCTACTGCTATCTTGCTTTTGGTGTTAGTGTTCTTAGTGTTGCTACTGTTAATGGTGATTTTGGTGCAGTAGCTCTAATACTTTAGTTGTACCATTTGTAGAATCTAAATTCTCTCTGGCTCGTGTAATAATTTGCTTAATTATAATGACCAATAGATTATTACTGCTGTGATTCCATTCTATCTTAGTTAAACCTATTTTGACAATTCGAAAGCTTTCAGTATTCTTCAAATGCAGGCGAATTGCAAGCAGGATAATGTGCGATCATGCCTCGAGCATTGTCTATATTAGTTTGATGTTACCTTATTGAATGAGAACGTTCCTTTTATGATTTTTTTTCGTAAATTATCGGTTGACATTACTCATGTCTGAATTTGCCATGTCGTTTACTTTAGATTAGGTAATATAGCGCCGCCTTATATTGCTGCGTGCAAAAAGCTGTGTCCAATATGACGGTACAATTTTCAAGCTATATAGAACTGGTGCTAGTGTTCTTAAATACATTTAAGTGCTATTGGAGGAAATTTTCGGTTCTGTTGATGACTGTAAACTCCAAGAAAATCAAACTTTGGACGTGTAGAGTTCACGAGGTAAAGAAATTACACGAACTACATTTGATTAGTCGAAGTATTGACTCACTCAAGCGTATTTATCAGACTTTTCCCTTTTGTAGGTATGTCTGCAATTCTTCGAACGGCGTGAAGGAGTGTTGAAGGATGACTCCCTGGTTCGGACTTGATCAATAACGTCAAGCGCACTAGCTACGACTCGTTGACTCATCGACTTAATTTTGTGCTTCCTGACCAAGCGGCAGCGGCGAGTTGGCACTCGAAAATGATTATGTACCGAGGCGCACGACTCCAGCTTTTATGCCCTGCCGTTTAGAAGCGCACGGATGTCCCAACGGACGCTACCTATCCGACTGCACCAAAACATGAATCTCTAAAATATCAAGTCTGCATTCTTCATTAATGGGTCACCAAAAGTACCGTTCACGCCGTTCTTTCATCTAACGTGATTTTCATAGTGACCTCCGTGACGAAAGGATATCCGAACGCGAACGAAGTGTACGACACAAAATTCCAAAATGACAGCTTTTGACTATTCCGCTGAATCGATCAGCTACGAATTTTTATGCACAATTTGGCAGACGGGGTGTCCATTTTTTTCATCACCATCGACATTTCAGTTGGTATCGTATTCCACGTACTACTCGTCCTCTCACACAATGTAACGGGGCACCCTTTGTTCAGGTGCCACGAAACTTCACGTACACTAGTACGTGCAGAGGAAGCTTATCTACTTAAACGACTCGTTTAAGCAAAGGTAAAAAGAGAACTGTATTTAATTTAGTTAAGCTATCAATCTAACTTTAATCGTTATCTAACTATTTTAATCCACGTTGTCGCATGACGACAACCTGCTTACCACTCATTGCGCGCGTCCAGCAGCGATTGGTGGTAATCTATGGTTGATATGCATTTTATCAACCAATCTTGGAGCAGCGCATGAATACTATCCAAAGGGGATAATGTTCTTTCAACATTATCCATCTCGGATAATATTGGTAAAATATTGTCATGCTAGACAATACCCCTATTGACACCGTTTGGTGTCAATTTCAGGTAACGGGCTACCCCATTACATCACCCCCCCTTAACCATCAATCACCCGTTGATCGAATTAGAATTGATTAGGACAGGGTGACCACCGTTGGATCACTCTGGGAAAGGTAGCACTTGTTGGAAAAATACCATTCATTTGCCAATTGAACGCGTGGTTTCAAAATCCACGCGAGTTGCTAATGTAGCAGCAAGAAAGGCGGCTGCACGCATGCAAGTAGCCGAAGAGGGTACTTCTCATACCTCAGCATCAGTTAATTCGTCGTTTACTGCTGTGAACAGTCCACGTGGTGAGTCGTCACGTGCGACAGGTACATCCGCTGCTTCTGCAGCGGGTACCGTGAGTCGTAATCCAGATGAGCCTTAAATAGAACACATCTATTCTGGCGAGTCGGATGATGTATCCGACTCGAAGGCGACACTTCACGCCTCCGGGTTACCCGAGGCGGACACTGCAAGAGCCAGGTTGACCGGCACTGGTCAACGCGGCGGTATCATGTCCGAGATCTTCGGATCGAGTGATTATTCCGACAAACCCCCGCCTCACGCGAGTCCATCCAACAATAGGACGCGTGTGGATGGTAGCGATGCCTCTGAGCATCATCACGAGCGAAGTTAATCGATGGATAGAGCTGCTACTGGTGTCAGTGCTCACGCTGGCACCAATCAAGAGACCAGGGACCGTAATGTCCTGCGCCAAGCTCCTCAAGTGGAGTCTTCTTAGATGCCGACACTTAAGGAGTTGGACCGGTTGGCCGGCATGACTACCAATCGAACTCGAATCCCGCTAAACGATTGTAGAAAGTTTTGCCCACCTGATTTCAGCACGGAAAATATCCGTGCTGAGGACGAATTCTTCACCGATGAGTTTTTTAAACATAGGTGGTACAATGGCAGCCGTGTTCGAGACAGAAAGGCTTTGGTGCAAGGATGGACTGCCCTCATCCATAACATCGAGTGCATAGGCCGCGAGGCCTGGTTCGGTAAACTTGATGCAGCTCGTATCAGGTTTGAGAAGCGCAACCCGGTCGGGGCGCGATAAAGCTGCACCGGCTATCAAGAGAGGCAGGATTACTCTGTCTCTCGTGGGGTGATTCATGTCCAGGTTGCATGGACAACTTGAACCGTGCCCCTAGGGAGGCTTACCTCCATTATGATCCCTACTGGAGGGCGCGCATCTCTTCTGAGATGGCCGAAGGGATTGACACTTTTCCATTCCTGTACTCACGTTCGGAAAGGTTATTTTCTGACGGCCCTTCTTCGGACGCAGCGGGTAGGTCTCGTCATACAGCTCGACGAGACCCAGGACATCAACAATCAGCTGGGCACGAGGCTTCCAGCTGTCCCACGCCGGTGGATAGCCACGCCAGCGGACGAGGCAACTCGTCCGGATGCCATTCACATCGCGGTGGTTCAAAATACGCTCCACTAGGAAGCGTTGACCACCGCTTGAGTCCATTAAAGGATGCGGTGGCGGTGGGAACACCTAATCCGGCTCGAGGGTCGGATCAACTTGATGCTCAAGAGCTGAAACGTCTAACGGAACAGTTGCAAGATGACCTGGCTCATGAAGGGTCTCGGCGTTATGGGCTTGAGGATCTTGTAAGAAATAATTACAAATTCCTAACGCACGATCGTGCCGCGTTGGTATTCGCACAATTTGAGAATGAACGTTCGCTTTGTTCTCTTCGTGACGAGTTCACTGCAGCTCGTCGAGACGTCGCTCAACTGCGTGAGCAGGTTGCTTCGCTAGTTGACCTGACTGGCTCGTTGAAACGGGACCACTCGAAGGTGGTCTCGGCTCTCGACCGCGGAGGCGTTCTTCGCATCTTAAAACGGGCTCGTACTGATAGTACGGGCGGAGACGTCCAACGTAAAACGTAGGATGACGCACGCATATTACAAAGTAGTTCAATCGTGTATGCGTTGCCCATGCGGCGCCCCACACGAAACGAACCGATATACTTGGGCAGGAATTTACTGCTGCCCACGTTTGTCACTACGTGTTTCGGTAAGTTTATTGTAGACCGTAAGGCTAAATCTCCTTCATCAAATGACATAACATTTGCTCTTTCACGTTTGTCTGCGTTTCTCTTCTGTCTGTCTAGTGCATCTGTAATGGAGTCTTGAAGGAAGCGGATAACCGCTTCGCGAGTTAGCATGAATTTCCTCTGCTGATTATCCTTGTCAACAGCAGTGCGCTTCGTATGCGCTGCTGAAAGAACGTTGTCTTCACCAGTGAGGGCTTCATCGTCCTCACTGTGGCAGTCATTGGCGATGCTAAATATACCAGCATCGTCGCCATCGTCATCATCGATAGCGATCACATCGACATCGGCATCCACCACGTCGACACCTTTGTCGACGGGTGATGAGCAAGAACAGATCGGTTTTGTTCGAGAGAGTACATTCCCCCTGGACTAGAGAAACACTCTAAGAAGGCGGGTAAACGTGGATGGCGTAGGCCATTCACGAATAACGGTGTATGCGTAGTCGACACGTGCACCGAGTTGTTGATGGCGAACTTTTGCCATCGGCAAGAGCTCAATCCAGCTCATAAATGAGTGGGCATACCCTCGAAGTGTCTCTTCGAAGACCTTGACGCGTTCCGTCTGACCATCTGTTTCGGGATGGTCAGAAGTTGACATCTTCAAACGTGTTCCAAGTAAACGGAACACGAATTGCCAGAACTCCGCTGTGAAGCGGGGGTCTCGATCGGACACGAGTTCGTGGGGTAACCCGTGAAGTCGGAGGTTAGTGTCGATGAAGACACGCGCACGGCCCTGGGCTGTGATTGACTCCGGTACAGCAATAAGATGTACCATCTTGCTGAACCGATCAACAAACACAAGAATACCAGTATTCTTGTGCACGTCTTTGGGAAACTTGAAGACGAAGCCCATCGATACGGACTGCCAACACTCTGCCGGAATCGGAAGAGGCTGCAAGGGTGCGCGGGATGAAGGACAAGGCTTTACCCGTTGACAAAATTCGCAAGCGCGAATGTATTTGCGCACAAATTTATACTGGAGGGGCCAAAAGAAGTAACGACTCACCATGAGGTAAGTCTTTTCTCTATCGCGATGCCCACTTGTTGGGGCATCGTGACACTCATATATAATGCGCAATCGCAAATCATCATGAGCGCGAACGACGACACGAGGTGTGTCGCCGTTGACTGCTGTATAGTACAGCAGTCTATCACGAACAGAATACCGTTCGGTTAAAAAGCGGTGTTGAGACGACAAGCTTTTCAAAGCTTGCTTACACGGATTCGATACGTAATCCATCAATCGCAGAAGAGACTCATCTTCTGCGTATGCTTTTCGCACGTCGTCGAGCAGATTCGACGACGGATCACTCACTGTTAGTGTTGCTACAGTGGGATCACTCTACTGTTGTGTTGAGTAGTCGCCTCGAAATTTGGCCAACGCGAAAGAGCATCAGCAACGACTTTAAGTCGTCCTGGTTCATACTCGACGGAGAATTTGTACTCCACGAATAAAGACAGCCACCTCACCATCCGCTGCAAGAGGTATAGACTGTTTACGGCCGTGCATAACGACGCATCATCGGTGTAAACGATGAAGGGCCTATCTCCTAAGATATATACCCGAAACTGGGCCAGTGCATATTTCATGGCATGGCGTTCCTTGTCATGCACCGGATAATTTCGCTGAGCCTCTTGCAGCTGACGAGATTGATAACATACGATGCGCTCAACGCCGTCTGAGTCGCACTGCATTAACGCGCAGCCGATTTCAAAATCGCTGGCGTCACAGACCACATGAAATAATCTATCCTGATCTGCAATTGCCAACACAGGCGATTGGATCAATCTTTGTTTGATACCTATAAAGGAGTGCTGACACTCAGCGCTTTATGACCACCTCTCGTTTTTTTAGTAGAAGAGGGAGATGTACGGTCATCTCGGCATAGTTGCGCGAGTACTTGTGCAAGTGCGCCGCCAAGCCAAGGAACTTTCGAAGCCCCTTGACGTCGACTGGCACCGGCCAGTCGCTAATCGCCTTGATCTTTTCCGGGTCAGGGCGTACACCATTTTTACCCACAATGTAGCCAAGAAGTGGTATTTCGTTCGCTACGAATTCACACTTCTTGAGGTTCGCGAACAACTTATGTTCTCGCATTAGTGTAAGAACCTTCCGGACGTGGATTCTTTGCACCTCCACGTCCGTCTTTCCATCCATAGCCCGGCTATAAACGCATACATCGTCGAAGTAACTCGGTACGAACTCGCGCACCGACCGCAACAGATTCGTAACACATCGGTTATATGTTGCGGGGGCGTTACTTAGCCCTTGTGGCATTACTAGCCACAATTCTCGCCCTTCGCGCGATGCATAGCAGCAGATGCCTGTCTGTATACTAGCGTCGTGTTGTAAGTCTGCACACAATTTGGCTGAATGATGGGATCGATGAAAAGGCTTTTTTATGTAAAGCTCTATTGGCCCTTACTGAAAATGCGAGACAAAATTTGACGTGCAGCTAAGAGCAGTAGCTTAAACGGTCGCACACAAGTTCGTACGCTGATATAATTGTAATGAATTCATCTTCCTTAATTCTCGCACAAGATTCTGGTAACTTAGTAATATCAGCTACAGTCGAAGATCCACAAGTTAACCGCAAACAGGTTGCAGACTGTCGATGCCTTTGCAAAGGGTGAAAACGAATCTCTACCATTTAAGCAAACGTTTTGTCCAGTCGATGCCCCTTGTCATTTTAATCCCGCTTGTCGACGAAGTTTCAAAACAACACGATTGCTTCCCTCGATATGAAGGCACCGCTCGTAAATAGTCGATCTTAGGCACTCGCTAATGATATGGTAGATGTATAGGAACCCGTCATGATTCGTGAATTCACTGATCTCGAATTATTTCAGGCTTTTTTTGGTAGAGCTTAGCTTTTCAAGGGTAATGATAACTCGTAAGTAATGACCGTCATGTCTATCGACGATGTGTGCGCATCGTTTAAGTGGCTTATAAGATGTAAGGAGGCAGGTTCTGGCGAACAAAAAACTCCTTCTACCGAGACTTTGATGATGCACATCCGCCTATTATCGAGCTGTTGATCTCCATTTGGCATCATTGGAGTGTTATCAGCCTTCTTTTGCGCAAGCGAACATAATCGTTTAAAGAAAACAACAGTGTCTTCCCAACCGATCTTTTATCGTACGATTACGCTCCTGAACAGTAATTATAAATTGTTTGCCAAAATTTATTTTTCTGCGTGCGGCCTCTACTTTCTTGGGCTACATTACCCGTTTAAGCGGGTTTTGTCCCGCACCGCTCTAGTCATACTCCGCTGGATGTGTTTGCAGCAGTATAAAGGAGCCACTTTCGATGACGAGCTCCATGGCTCAGTTGTACTACTACTTGATTTTGCAAACGCTTATGATACCCTATAACGTTAGTTTTAGCTCTCGGTTTTGGTGAAGGTATGTTTTAGCAACGTTGTGTTTCCGTGGTGGCAGCATTAAATCACAACACGACCTGCAGTCCATTGTGCACGGACATCACTTCAGGCAACGAGTTGCCAGCTAGGGCATGCGACAAGGCTGCCTGCTCAATCCACTGTTGTTTATAATTCCTCTTTTCCTCCGTGTCCGACATAATCTCTGGATTTGTGTTTATCACGTTCTGCAAGAGAGTGCCGACATACGAGTCGGTATAATTAGATCATAAGACAAATTTGCAGAGATCAAGGTGTCCGGGTATGCCAACGACACAGCGTTCTACCCACGTGATCACTCTTCGATCAAACACGTGCTTTTCACATTAGATGAGTTATTCGGAGAATCCGTTCTTACCTCAAACACGTCAAAATCGACGGTTTTTCGCTTTCATTTCCGTAGTTAAATTTTTACCGCTGGACACACGAGGTCTTACGCTCCTTACATCCGAGGCATCCTGTCGGTATTTCGATTTAATGGTAGGGCAGTTTGATACCGCAGATGAGAATTGGATTAACGGATTGGATTATCGTGGGGTAGACTCGTGCTTTCTTGGGAAATACCCACACTATTTGACATCGAGCTTTTCTTGCATGGTCAATTGCGGTACCTAAAATTAATCTTCTTGCGCGTCATTGCAGGTCTACTCCAGAATTTGTTTCAAGTCCACAGAACTTGATTTTATAATTTGTTTCGGGATGCGCGATGGTATGCACTCCCGCCTGTAGGTGCCCAAAGAAATGGAGATGATATGTATTAGGCTAAGTGGCTTACAAGTATTTTGTACTCAACAGAAATGATGACCATGGCAGCTACTGCGGTCGGTAAACGGGCTGCAACTAGCTCTCGGCGAAACTTACTGATAGGTGACGTCTTGTGGGTCTCCCCTAAAACGTTTCATCTTTTATCACACCATACTGGGTTAATGGTTTACATCCGCGACAACGGAGGTCCCTTTGGCTCACTCGGGCTGAAGCTGCCAGTACATATGTAGCCTATTACCCTCGCCAACACGACGTAGACTCTATATGTGGTCGCGAATCCATTGGTCTACGGGCTGAGGTTATTGGCAACGACGATGGAAGTGTTTTTTTATTTTCGTCAAGCGATTGACGCAGGCATTCCCAACGGCCTTAACCCTAGATTGGCAGCATCGGTAAGAATCGACGAGAGGTGAATTATTAGCGCAAAATTGAAAGATATGACTCGGCTTCAGTTCCGCAGAGTCTGATGTACAATCCAGGCCGCGCTGGATTTTCGAAAGCTACGAAATTCCTGTAGGATGCTCGGTCATGGACTAAGCTTCGACGCAGTGTTGCAAATTTAAAATCTGTGCTCGACATATAACTGGCATCTATCGACACTCGCAGGCGTTTTGGATCGTTGTACCTCGCTATCCTGTACAACTTACCTCAACTTCTATTTCGCGATTTGGAGCCAGAAACTTTAATTGAATACACACCGACAATATTATCTTTACTAGGTCACAAGCGACGGTGGGTCGATGGTCACCCATTTTAATGCAGGTATGCCGTGCGATACCACGTCTGTTTTCTCTATATTTGTTGAGATTACGCCGCTCCATGTCGTCGTTTCATGTTGGGTTCATGGTGATGGTTTCTGTGTCAGCGTGTTTCATGGTGTTGGTTACGGAAGAAGGTTATGGATCGCGGTTACATGATGAGATCACAGGATATCGTTACATTAAGGCTTAGATTTAGCTAAGGGGAGGGAACTAAGGACCTTCAATATATTCACTTCGGTTTTTAACTTCTTTGCAACAGGTTAACAGCCGCAACCAAGCCTTCCTTTCAAACCACGTCCTCGCCTACTATGGCGAACAAGCGAACCGAAGTCCTCCTGGGAAGTGGTAACTATTACCACTGGGAGTATAACATGAGGATGACCCTGGAAAGGAAGGGTCTCCTAGGGCAGGTCATGGCATTCAAGGATGAGAGTGACGTAACAGAAGCATGGCTGATAAACGACGCCAAGGCGCTAGGCATCATCGCTTAAAAAGTTGAGGTCCAGCACCAAACCAAAATTCGATCGGCTACGCGCGCTAAAGCGGCATGGCAACGCTCCGCGATTTCTACAACCGGTCGACGATGACGCGTCATCTTCACTACTTCAAAATGGAGAGTGGGACAAGTATGGCGGAAATCTATATTAATTCTACGAACTGGTAGTGTGACTCCAAACTACGGGAGAACCGGTGGATGAGTCGCGCCAGCTGGTGAACCTTTTCAGCAGTCTGCCTTCAGAACACGAACTGATTTCGTCGATTGTTAAATATGCGAAGGACATTGTGCTGATTGAAGTCAAGGAGAAGCTGCTCAAGGGGTCAGAAAAGATACAAAGGAAGGAAGCTACGGAGAAAGCATTCCGCGTGAATGGGAATCCTGGAAGATTTAAAGGTGGAAGGATCAACGGTCGGAAAGGTGGCGCTCCACGCAATCACGGCGGATTTAAGGGCAAGTGTTTTAACTGTGACGAGCTTAATCACATGAAGCGGAACTGCCGGGCCGAGAAATAAATTGGCGGCAATGATGCGGTATTTGTAATAAGGGAAGGAAGATCATCCGGATGGCTGATCGACAGTGGTGCAACCTCCCACATGACCCCCACAGGGAGGACTTGTTTGAATACAAGGGCCTTGGGACAAACGTCGAAGTAACGATTGCAGACGGCGAGAAGTTGGTCGTCAAAGGAGCCGGTACGGTAAAGCTGACCGGACTGGATGGAATAGGCATTCGCATGGTTGAAGTCCTGTACATCCCAGGGCTCGATGGAAGATTGATTTCAGTCGGCAAGCTTGCAGAACGTGGCATGAATGTGGAGTCCTCACGTTCGTCTTGTGTCATCTGGACAACAACTAAGCTATCGCCTCGTAACCAGTATCTAAAAAACATATTTGCCAGACTATAAGCAAGGAGAAGCTTGTCTCATGGATTATTCCGGTGGTGACACTCAGTGAGAGCTTTGGCATGCCCGCATGGGACACCCAAGAAAGGACGCGTTACCCAAGACTCAGCGCTCAACTAAAGGCATTTCGACAATCAAGCTAGGCACGGAAACACTGTGCGTCGGGTGTATAAAGGAAAGCAGACCGTCGTGACGTTTTCTTTACATTCAATGACAAAGACGACACGTGTACTGGAGCGCGTGCACGCAGACGTCATGGGGCCAATGAGAAATCCTTCTAAGGGTGGTGCCAATTACATTCTCACGTTTGTAGAGGTGATTCACGATACGTTGCGGTTTTATGATAAAAAGTAAGAGTGAAGTGACTGGCAAGTTCAACCAAATCAAGATGTTTTTCGAAAACCAATGGGGAGCTCGTTTGAGGTGTTTGCGCTTCAACAACGGATCAGAGTTTGTCAACAAGACGATAGCTGGCATATGTCAGCAGAAAGGCATAGTGCATCAGTGCACCGTTCTTTGCAGCCCTCAGCAGAACGGAGTGGCAGAGCGGATGAACAGGACAATCATGGAGAAAGTTTGAAGCATGCTACACTACTAAGGCGTTTCAACTGAATGGTGGGCGGAAGAGGTATTCACAGCAGTTTTATTTATTAAACACTCCACGAATACGGCTCACATCGACATGACACCGTATGAGATGGCTTATAAGATAAAAACCCAAATGGACCACTTGCGCGTGTTCGGGTCGCAGGGTTTAGCTCATATAAATGATGCGAAGAAAACAAAGTTCGAGCCCAAGATTTTCAAATGCATGTTCCTCGGCTATGCAGAAAATGTCAAAGGTCATCGTGTGTTAGACTTAGAAAATGCCAAGGTCAACGTTACGCATTCGATGAAGTTGGATGAACGTAAGGTGGGCGGCATTTATGATACTCAAGTGCTAAATCCGGAAGCGATCGTTCACGTGACGAAAACAGTGATAATTACAGATTTAGCATCAAGAAGATAGACAGCCGGATCTGGTCGAATCCATGGAAGATGTTGAAGATCCGGTTGCAGACGTGGTGATGGACCATGTGGATTCTACGTCAAGCGTCAGTGCGCAGCAGCTGATGCCTCCCGATTGCCATGTTGAAGACACATGCAACTAGCAGAGTGGCATCCACCGCCGCAAATGCAACAAGAAGATCGTTTAGTGTTCCGAGCTGAAGTGGAGCAAACACGAGGAAGACGTGAGCCGATGATATTGCTTAGAAATGGCTCAAATAATAAAGAAGAATCAACAGAAGGAAGTGACGGACCACCGACTCCGAAGCGTGCTATAAATGATGAAGACGGACTCATTGCAGAAGCTGTGTTAGCATACGCGAAAAGCGTTGACAACGATTCTGATGTGTCGACTACATATAATAAAGCAGTGGCAAAAGGACATACGGCGATGCGCTCGAAGCCGTATTGCTCCTTGATCGTATGCCTACTATACATTACAACATGTAATAGGCCGGATACTGCGTACGTGTTGACACAAATATTATGTTTTCTGGAGAAACCTGGATAAAAACATTGAAGTGCAGCCATTCTCGTTTTAAGATATCTGTAGACCACACACCAAACATGTATCGTCTACCAAGGCACTAGGAGTGTAGGGGTAAAGGCGTACTCGGATGCTGGTTGGGGCTGCAACAGCGATGATAGAAGTTCGGTCTCAATAGTTATGGTCATGATTGCAAGCGCACTAGTGGTATTCAAGTCGAAGTAACAGCGAACGGTTGCTCTCAGCTTGACGGAAGCTGAATACATGGCCCTCAGTCGTTGCACCCAAGAAGTTCTTTGGACGCGTGCGATGCTAAAGGACATGGGCCACGAACAAGCGGGAGGCACACAAGTTTGGGAGATAGTCAAGTAGCGATTGCTTTGGCCAACGATGCCGGATTCCACGCTCGGACGAAGCATGTAAACATTAGACATTGCTTCATTCGTGAAAATGTGCAAGACGGACTATTGAAGATCGACTACATCAACACGAAAAATCAACTTGCAGATATGCTTACAAAGGCACTCGGAACCAAGATACTAAAATTTATGTGCGAGGCAACCGGGATCAAGACTAAGCCAGATTCCAAGACCTACAAACAGTAGCGGCGAGTGGGAGTGTTGAGATCACGCCGCTTCATGCAGTCGTTTCATGTTGGGTTCATGGTGATGGTTTCTGCGTCAGCGTGTTTCATGGTGTTG